GAATGGGGGTGAGGAAGGAATTCCTACTGACTCATGTGACCAGCTGGCACCATGAAACACCAGATAAGGTTACCCTTTTCGAAAACAAGCCTAATTACAAGCCATCAGGGAATTCAAGCTACCTCATTTACATGCAGTCACTTACAAAAACAGTGCTAACATTTCCAGTTTAAACAAATGATTAGTGTTAGTTCTTCTTCTGTTGCATTTTCAGTAACGGAAAACATGCTAACGCGGTGTGATATCAGAAAGCAAAATACAAGGGGAAGTCCGAAAGAAGAAGCATGTTAGGCTGAGGGCACTCCACTGCTAGTCAACAAGGAGAAATGTACGGCTAAGACCAAGGTCGCATTCCTGATAAAAAATGCTTTTGTTCACACACTGTCACTTCCCTCATTCTGCCAGACAAATGCATGCATGTCAGAAGGCCATCTTGAGCCATCAATCTCTAGTGCTGAATTCCCAGTCAAGTTAGCCATGAAGTTCAAAGCTGCCCCTACTTGGATTCTCCTGCTCCTCCAGCACATCAAAATGCACTGGTAGAACCATTCACACCTCAGAGGATCCTCCCTGAATCCAGCCTCAAACTATACCTTCTTTGTAAATTCTGTCTTCACCTTCCCTTCTCTTCACTCCCTCAGCATCAGCCCCGGTTGGTAACCACGAGGTATCATCCCGTCTATTAGCGTCTGCTCCTCGAGATAAACTCCTTAACAGTGACAAGCATGGCAGCTTTTAGTAGAAACAGTTTAGTTCCCACCTGTGACACATCAACACCCTGTACCATTTTAAAACCTAACTTTTTCCTATTGATACATCCCTGTATCCTCCTTCTTGACAACTTTGCAAATGCAGCATCACACTCTGCGAAGGCAGTGCCGCGCCTTTACAAAGCAGCTGGTTTGTATTAATTGTGCCCCTCTTGGGGAAGGCGAGGAGGAGAGCTTAGGGCAGGGACCTAAATGCTCATTAGCAATCACCATGATGAATTCTGAAGCTGCGGACAACCAAGAGGCCAAGCAATGCACCTTCCATCATGGGGCTACCATGTCCACTCGAACTACCCTGCAAGTCACTACTGCCTGGGAGTGTCCCCGACCCCTTCATGTGCGGCATTTTAGCGCCATGCACCCCGTCAGTGTATCCAGGGTACCAGGAATACTCACAGCTCCTCTAGCTGAAGAAAAGCAGAGGACAAGGAACAAGGACAGGCAGGCTAATGTGGGCTGGAAGAGGAAATGTAACTATGGCTGGCAAGAAGAGAACAGGAACACCCCTAAGAGAAGAGCAGGTCTGGAGAGGTGGCATATGAGCATGGAATGTACAGCATGGGGAAGGAGATGTGCACACAACCAGTCCGTAGCACAAGGAGGTGATTACAGAGGGGACAGGGAAGTGGAAGTGGTTCAGGAAAAGTGGGTGGTGGGGCTGAGGGCGCAGGGAAGGCGAGCGTCCGTGGGAGCAACACCAAGTGCACCTCCTCTCGATCCTATTGTTGGCAGACTGTGCGGAGGCTCAGCACCAACACGTGAAGATTCTGAACACGATCGCCGATTTCCATCTCCCCCTCAGAGGTTTGGGGGCGGGAGGCGGAGGTGGGAGAAGGGGTGGTGGAATTGGGGGCACCAGATGCATTTTTTCCTAGTGTTTTGGAACAACAACAAATAACCACAAAAGAACTAATACACAGCAGGTTTACATGAGAATTTGGAAAAGCATGTAGACAGATGCTTGTTTGGAAATCTAGAAAGTGTAGTAAGGTTCCAATCCAGCATCTAAGCTGTGTTGCTTTTTCTTCCTGCCAGTAATACCTTCCCTTACAGCTTGTGTTCGCAAAATATTTCATGTAAAATTTCCAGTAAGTAGGCTGTAATGTATGGATCCAATATATTTAAAAATAATTAAAAAACCAAAGCCAACAGCTGAAATACTGCTTTGCATGATCTGTCAGTGCATTAAACACACAGGAGCCTTGATGATTTTTTTTAGATGTGCCACTTAGATGCATCCACTTTCCTAATGTTCACAGAATCACAGAATGGTTTGGGTTGGAAGGGACCCCTAGAGGTCATCTAGTCCAACCCCCCAGCACTGAGCAGGGACACCGCTAACTAGATCAGGCTGCTCAGAGCCCCATCCAACCTGGCCTCGAATGCTTCCAGGGATGGGGCCTCCACTACCTCTCTGGGAAACCTATTCCAGTGTTTTACCACCCTCATTGTAAAGAATTTCTTCCTTGTATCTAGTCTAAACCTACCCTGGTTTAGTTTAAAACCATTACGCCTTGTCCTGACACAGCTGGCCCTACTAAGAAGATTGTCCCCATCTTTCCTATAGGCCCCCTCTAAGTACTGAAAGGCCACAATCAGGTCTCCCCGCAGCCTTCTCTTCTCCAGGCTGAACAAGCCCAACTCCCTCAGCCTGTCCTCATAGGAAAGGTGCTCCAGCCCTCAGATCATTTTTGTGGCCCTCCTCTGGACCTGCTCCAACAGGTCCATGTCCTTTTTGTGCTGAGGGCTCCAGAGCTGGACGCAGTACTCTAGGTGAGGCCTCACCAGAGCAGAGTAGAGGGGCAGAATCACCTCCCTCAACCTGCTGGCCACGCTTCTCTTGATGCAGCCCAGGGTACGGTTGGCCTTCTGGGATGCCAGCGCACACTGCCAGCTCATGTCCAGCTTTTCATCCACCAGCACCCCCAAGTCCCTCTCAGCAGGGCCACCACTCAGTTTGGTGTAATCCGCAAACTTGCTGAGGGTGCACTCGATCTTGCTGTCTAAGTCATTGATGAAAACATTAAACAGCACCGGTCCCAGCACGGACCCCTGAGGGACACCACTTGTCACCGGTCTCCATCCGGACATCGAGCCATTGACCACTACCCTCTGGACGTGACCATCCAGCCAGTTCCTTATCCACCCAACAGCCCACCCACCAAATCCAGAGCTCTCCAATTTAGACAGAAGGATGTTGTGGGGGATCGTGTCAAAGGCTTTGCAGAAGTCCAGATAGATGACGTCCATTGGTTTTCCCTTGTCCACTGTTGTTGTCACACCATCATAGAAAGTCACTAGGTTGGTCAGGCAGGACTTGCCCTTGGTGAAGCCATGCTGGCTATCTCGAATTATCTCCCTGGCCTCCATGTGCCTTAGCATAGCTTCTAGGAGGATCTGTTCCATGATCTTCCCAGGCACAGAGGTGAGGCTGACAGGTCGGTAGTTCCCAGGGTCTTCCTTTCTACCCTTTTTGAAAATGGGCACAATGTTTCCCTTCCTCCAGTCACCAGGGACTTCACCTGACTGCCATGACTTTTCAAATATCATGGAGAGGGGCTTGGCAACTACATTGGCCAGTTCCCCCAGGACTCTGGGATGCATCTCATCAGGTCCCATGGACTTATGTGCATTCAGGTTCCTCAGGCGGTCAACATATTTTCAGAAGGAATAAAATACCCCAAATACTGGCAGTTACCTACACATTCTCTAAAAATCATTGGCTGCACTTGTTGTCTGCAAACAGTTAAGGTTAAAATTTACAGTCTCACTAGGTCAGCACAATTTATTTTTCTGTTGGCAAAAATCTCCTGGAGATTCTCCCAACAGAAAGACAAGAGGTAGGACAGAAGCACTCCTGGGCAGAATAGGTTTGATCATAGCAGAGCACTGTTAAATTTGCTGTGATGTAACAGTACTGTTTATTTTAAATACAAAACAATTATTTGTCTCAACATGTGTAATTATAATATCTTTAATAAGCTGACTTAGATATAATTATCATCATAGCACCTGAAATGCCATGCCTTCCCCCTGCCCCGTTACTAGTAAGTTCCCAACCCAATTAAACACGTAAGCCACACTGAATTTTCTTCATGCCAGCAGTCCCAGCTGAAGCCAACTGGATCACTCATATGGTGAAAGTTAAGCCTGTGCCAAAATACATTGCCGTATGGGGACTTTTCATTTACTGTTCTCAAAACACTCAGCAAACATTTATTTTCCCAAGACAGAGGGCCATATTTGGCCATTAATTATAAAGCAGAACTCCTCATTAACTGCTTAGAAATTAATGTCATAAGATGGCTTCTCACGGACACAATCTCTTAAAGCTTCCAAACTGTCCTACTGGGGAGTAAACTTAGCCACAAAGAATTTAGGTGACCTGCTGGAGAAAAAGCAAGGCAACTTGTGAGTTTGGATCAGCATCTAGGCGTTCTCCCTCCTGCCTGCAGTCTTTAACCCCTGACTATATTCGAGGAGGGGAGCATGACCAGTGTGAACGAGTGGTTACTGCTGTAGAATTAAGAAAAGTTCATGCAACTCTCTCTTACCTTGCAGCCAGTCTCGAAAGTAGTGCAACCACATTTTGGGAAGCTGCCTATCCTCCTCCAACAAAACATATGTCACATTGCTGAAACTTCTGTGAAGTTCATAAAGTAAGTGTTGGACATTGGGATAGTCTGCTTTCTGTGTCACAATATACATGTTGTAGAATGAAAAGTACTTGAACTGTGCGGCAATAAAGTCATATTCTCGTGTTTCCCGTGGTACAATGTCTGTGAGATCTAGTCCATCTCTCACTCGGGTAGTTCCATAAAGGCTGAGCCCAAGTAAACCCAGAAAAAGAAAAATAACCACAATCTGCAACAGAAAATGGAAATGCATTTGGGTTTAGGTTTCTAAAGAAACTAACAATTCGTAAAAGCACACTACAAAGCCAATTTCAAAATGAACAGCCATCACTCTAATTTAAAGCTTTTATTTTTTCCTTTTTTTCATACACACACACTCTAAAAGTCTAAGATAATTTGTGCTTTATTGTAGGGGCTCTGCATCATGGATGAGAAATTTGTATCATAATAAAGTTTAAAAGTGGTTTTAGTTTCACTATTCACAAGCTTACATTACTGAAAGTCACCAAAACCCTTGCTCGTAACTTATATTTGAGAAGTGTGTCTTTACAGCACTTGCAAGATAAAACTTTTAAAGTATGAAATTAACTGTAAAATTATTAAGAATTGTTATTCCAAAGTAATTCTATTTATAGATTTGTATTATATCTTTTAACATATATTTAATACCACTGCCAGGATAATTTTATTACTGGGCAAGGCAGAAGTCTGTTTCTGAAAAATGGGTAAATAGTTCCCTGATTACCTTAGCTTTTGGTTTTAGGAGGAACGGAGCATAATGCTTTTCTGCAAAAGATGAGAGTGTCCACTTCGTACAGGGTGGCTCAAGGCAATGCATACTGGAGTCTGAGAATTGGGAAAGCAAATCCCTCGTCGAGCTTGTGCTTTCTGGGCTCTGGCAGCTGAGATTATCTTGTGTCACTGTCACTGGCTGCACAGATATTTCTGAGCGAGGCTCTGCTGTGGTGTAGTACACCTGTGTATGAGGATCGTATTCTGTGCGCAACTGCACTGTAGACTGCATTGTAATCTGAGTTTCATGTGCAAAACTGTGACTGCTGTAAGGGGGTGGAGGGCTGTAGCAAGTATTCTCGTTTTCCACATATGCTTGAGGCTCAATCTGAATCACTCTAGTGACACACGGACTGTAAGAGAAGAGAAAAACATCTGTTTGCATTCAGATGGATCTTTATTTTAATCGGACTAGGTGGGATAGCCTGCTTCCATCTGAAATTGCTTCTACTACTATTAGATGGTTTCTATTAATCAAGTGTAGCGCTTTGATGTGAATTTTATTCTGCACCTTTAGGAAACATTTCTCAGACATGGTTCAAAGCCTAGGCCTCTGAGAATATGTGTGCACTTCTTGTGCTCAGGAAAGAAGGAGCCAGCATCTGTCTGGAGACAGTGGCATCTACCCACATCACTCCATTAATTACACACGCTAATCAGGTCAATACCCAGGTAGCTGCACAGCGTCTAAATGCGCAAGATGTGTGAGAGTCTGCATCTACGTACCAGTGCTGAGAATTCAGCTATTTACATCAAAATGTAAACACATGACATACTGAGTTCTTCTGTTTAGAACTACTGAAGTAACTGTTAAATAATATTTGGGTCTTCTGGATAAGATCTCAGACTTTTGGGAGGCAGGTTGAAACCACTTGCCATACACTGACTGAATGTTTTAAAAATTAAGTAAACATACACAAGGTTTAATTCCTGGGAAGGATGGGCAACGTGAAGAGGCAAAATTACAGAAGGAATTGAAGCATTCCCTTTATTTTAGTCTATGCAAGACCCTAAAAGATACCTAGTTTATTAAAAAATAATTAGAGACAAACCTCTTCCTGTAACTGAGAAATGACAAATTGTATCAAAGAATATTCCGCCACTTGGACAAATCCTATAGAAACAAGAGGAGTTCAGCACGTTGCCTACCTAAACAAAGCAAGCTCTCATTAACTGCGTTTCTTCATACATAAATGCGCCCGAACTCTGATACAGATTTGGTGCAACTTTAGATGAGGGAATAAATGGAAGGTCCGATTGCCCTGTATTCCTGAGAATACGGGCTCCAAAATCCAAGCACATTCGGCCATTCACTGAACCTACGACTGAATCCGAAATGGAAAGTATGAGTCCTGGCTTGGGATCAATTCCTTCTCCTAACCACTCCCTCAGAAACAAATTTAGGGATGTGCTTTCTCTCTTTGACATTAAAATTATTAAAATGCCAAACTATGTCAGCTCCTAGATGGGTGCAAAAGGCTAAGATAACACAAGGTGTATTCTCCACATCCTGGTTATCCTGAAACGGTACTGATCATCCCGCATTCCTTATAGTCCTTTGAAAAACTAGACTAAGGGGAAGTCATTTTACAGTTCATACATGTATTTGTTAAGTTTAAAGACAGAAAAGGCATAAAAATTAGCGCATAGTGATTAACTATAAGCAAGGCTTCTCAGTACCCTGAGTTATGTACAGCCTTCCACGATTACCCAGTACCAGCACTGGGTGCCTTGCAGTACTCCGTAACATTCTAAAAATGCTTGAAGATATTCCTAAAGTTTGGATCTTATATATGCTTTCATAAAGTTTCCTCCAACAGTCAAAATGAGCATAGGTATGAATGAAGGGAAAAGTGAGAGAGAGACAAACATGTTTTAACTTTTCCCCTTGGTCAGGTAAAAACCAAGGTAGCAAATGCAAGTTAGTCACTAGCAATGAGATCGTAACGATAACATATGGACCCCACTGCAATGGAGAACTCCCATTCCTGACAAGGAATGGTAGCACTGATGGGGGACCACAAGAAGGATGCACCTCATACATCAATCGATCACACATTCTCACCTTGTGAAACAGCAGAATATATCCAGTCTCCTGTCTTCCCGACGATAGAGATCCATGCTCAGGATAGCAGGAAAAATCAGCAGAACCATAGCAAAGTTGAATACCACCACAACTGCTGCCTAGAGATCAATCATATGAGAAGTGATGTCATTCCTAAGCTTCATGTAGGGCATCAGCTTTACAAAGCATAAAACTTCCTTTCAGTTCTCATCCATTTAACCAATTTATCACACTAACCCGTCAGATGCTTTCAAGCTTTTTCACGAGGAAACTGGGAGATATACTTTTACATTCCCATTTCATTATGGTAGGCCTACTGTAGTTAATTAGTTATTTATTTTAATAATAAACTTCATATTAGTTTAATACATCTGTGCCTGCAGATATGGTGATGATTTTTTAAGTGGAAAAACAGAGTCAACAAATCAGGCTTTTGCATGAGATTCTGTCGTATTTACAGTCTCACTGTGAGAAAAGATGGAAGCAAAAGCAAACCTGGAACTCGAACTGAAGTTTTCACATTTAAGGGATCTGAAGTAATTTAAACATCACAGTAACATTAAAGCACGCTATTAAATCAGAAATTAAATGAAGATTAAAGTGAATTTTAATGAAGCTGTTCTATTTAGTAAAATATAATGCACTTGATCTACTTACTTAAAAGTCTAGCCAAAAAGAGCGACATTTGGGGTTTATCAGGGATTCTTTCTAAAGGAGAATCATAATTAATCCCAACACCATGTAGCGAATCTATGTATTAATATGCTTGTGTTTAACAGAACTTGATTAATGAGCCAGTCTATCAAAGTGAGTCTTAAACTGGAACAAGAACACATCTTAAATTGGAACAAGAATACTTGGTTTAATTTGTAAAGCTAACATTACGTAATGAAAGAAACCAACCTCCCCACCCATCCCCTTTCAAACCATACTTCAAACCGTTTCCCACACAGAGATTCCCAGAGAATCTCCATAAACATATGTGGTGCAGCATCTATCATTATTGTTAATAGCATTTACTTGTAATGCAGAATTTTTAGGAGCACTAGTCATCACAAAGGGAAAGCCAGGGCACAGATGGGACTGAAAGATAGTTATAAGAGTAGAAGAGACACTGGGGAAAATAAAATGGATGAGCCACCAACAGGTAAAAAAAACCCTTGAAATCCTTGCATTTTACCCAGCAGATAAGCAGCAGCCATCTCAATAGTAGCCCATTTTCATGTTAAGGAAATCATATAAAGTATCAAGTGCCCCCACCTGCAACTTCTGAAGTAATGACCACTTGCATTAAAACAGTCATAAAAAGAACAAAAGTTGGACTACAAAAATGAAGTTGTTGACCTGACATAAATAGGCCCTCCTACAGGTTTATTTCCCAAAATAAACAAATGGCTGCTTTTGATGTTGAAAAATCAGGCCTCAAAACTGCCAGCTCAAAAGATGCGATATCTAAAATCCATGTTTTGAAAATTCTTGACTCGCATGTCAAATAAATAATATAAATTGCCTAAATAATGCAATTTTTGGTTTTGTGTCTCTTTATCTGTGAAAATCAAAGTACTAATACACTGGATGATTTTTAGGGTTTTGAAGCTGTCAAAGTATAACAGAAAGACTAGATACTGGTTTTACTTTTCTGAGAATGACAGAATTGACTAGTTATGTAAATATTTTCTAATCATTTCAATCATAAATATATTGCCTACAAAAGTATTTTTTATTGGTGTTTCTCTTTTGTTGTCTCCAGCCTGCTTGAAGGAAGATTTTGGTCCTGCTGATTGCCTGTAGCCATAACTACTAAACCAGAGTTTATCTAGTACTTAAAGCCAAATTAGTATTTAGCCATCTTTGAGATAAAAGATCCAATGACTATTTCATGATTTACAAATATCCACACAGAAAGGTATATAAGGTCACAGCCAAGTCTTTAAAACTTAAGTGATTTCCTTTTGATCCTCTCTAGAATTAATTGAAATCTGTCAGAAAAACAAATGGCTGCTGTTGCAAGCAAGGTGTTTGTTGGACCTAGCTCATACAACTGCTTGCTTTATTGCTGCTAAACCAGAGAAGGCTGAATCACCCATACAACATGAATAATTAGTTCTGTCTAACCAAGATCTTCTATCAAGGATCAACCAAGATTTATTGAGATTTGGAAAAAACAGGTGAGGCCTAACTCAGTAATTCTTACTCCTCCCAGCACAGCTGAAAAACTAACACAAGTCCTCTGTTCCTGCTCCATACACCGCAAATACTTCACGCCTTACCAGTCCTCTTTGGAGACCCCAAGGTCCTTGAATCTAAAATGCCGCTAAACCTGAAAACTAATACTTAAGTCTGTGACAGAGACACCATTAAAGTCAGTTATATTTGCATTTGATTTAAGAAGCATTAAAACTAATCCAACAACACAGAGTAAATCTGCCTATTAACATGGCATATCTTTTTAGAACAACTAGACTTTCCATTGTGCCATCCCAGTGGTGATGTACTAACCCCACAAGTTAAATACTTTTAAACAATCCTGTCTGCTCTGATTTCTACGTAAGCAGATTCCTAGAGCTGAACACCACACTTCCTATATACTGCAGTCTTTCTCTCCCTCACCCACCTCCCCAGCATTTCAAGGTTGGAACAGTTCTCAGTTTTCCCAATTAAATGCAGGAAATATTGTTCTTCTATTAATTCTAATTTGTTCTACCATCAAAAAACACCCCATGACTTGATAAGGAGATGGAAGGAAGAACCGTTGAGCGGTGACTCAATCTCCAACCCAATGCATCAGCCACCGCTTCCCCTCCCAGTACCAATTAGACATCTGGTGGCTGGGAATGGGAATGTGTGAGGAACGCCATCATGGCAATACCCACAATCTGTCACAACAACACTGACTGGAAAAGCACGAACAAAAACCTGTGGCAGCAGAGCTTCCAGAGTACCAGCAATCTGCTAGCAGCACCCAAGCTGAGAGCGTGCTTAGGATTTTTGGGGATGGGGCATCTTCTCTCGCCCCTTCAGAGACGAATGGTCAAATGGGAGAGGAAAGGGCCTCAGACCTTTTCCTTGAGAAATCAACAAAGGTAAGATTTGTCCTAGAAGGGATAAAATGGGGCCTACTCAAGGTTATAAAATGAAGGCATTCAGTGAAATGAGATCAGAGAGCAGTAAAAAAATTCCATTAACCTGGGGGAAAAAAAAAAAAACCACCAACCTTGGTCACTTTCTGAGAAAAACACTCCACTTTTTGCATCTTTTCATAATGCACGGCCTAAAAAATATTATTGCTGCTGCAAGTGTTAAGGGAGGCAGAAGAATGGCAGTCTGTGCTGAAGGCAGCGAGGGAGCCGGGAGCCAGGCTGGCAGGCTGGGGCCCCACTGAAGGTATGCGCTGCTGTGTGCCATTCCCGGCAGCCCACCCAAGGAGAACGGTTGTGCTCTATAGCCAGAGGTGATGAACAGGCGAGGAGGTCTGTCAGGGAAACTTCCACCCAACCGTTGCCTATCTGCAGCTCCCTCCTGACAGCCTATGGGCTTGGATCCCTCCCCCCACGCCACCTTTTCCCTCAGGCTTTAGATTTCCTTGTTAAATTCTTGTGTCAGGAGCAGGGAAAAGGTAAACGACGTGGGTAAAAGGAGGGTACAAACTGCTTCAGCAGACTAAGATAATTGAACAAGCTTAAAAACATACGTTACATTCTTGCTCTCCACAAACGCACCACCACCACCTGGTAATGCACTTTTACATTTAGGAAAAAAACTTGTCATTCTTACGGTAAGGGAAAAAGTTACTGCTAAGACTTAATGGAGAAAGTTCCGCCCCTGCTCATTAGTGAATCCATACCACTCCTCTGCTGTTAGGGGAGGAAGTTTCTGGTGTAAGCAAGAAGAGGCAGATGAATTTTTGTGAAGCTGTACCTCCTCTTTCCTGGGCAGAACTTATTCCGTAAGGGTGCCCGAACAGTCTGTCCGAGGTAAGAATTCCGCCCAGTGGTGGTTACACTCTGCCTTGCCTTCCTTTATCAATGCTCAAATCAAAGGGCTATGTTTAAGGC